AAGTATGAAATATATTTTTTGATTTCATCTTAGGAATATTTATTATCTTGTTGTTCAACGTCAAACAATTAATAAATCTTTACGTCATTTACAGTTATTCGCATATCAAGAACAAGTTCGTGTGAGTATGTCTAATGCTAGAAATAATTTTTTTTAATTTCATCTTAGGAATTTGTATTAACTTGTTGTTTATCATTAATTCAGGTTACGGTATTATCATACTTGGTCGAATCACAAGATCATTATTAATTTGTGTTTTATTATCGGTTAGTGAAAATGAAAGTAAGTAAATAATAAATTCATGTGGTGTGGTATTTTTTGACGGTATGTGTTGTTTTGAAATTTAGATCTCAAACATCAGGGTGAATAATGAGGGTGGAGTTACAGAAAACAGTCAATCAACTCAAACGATGAGTTCTGCAAAACAATCTCGTGTATGGGCTTATTTTGAAAGAATCTATGGTGATCAAGGTTTACAGGCGAAATGTTTAGTTGGTGATTGTGCGAAAGTCCTGTCAACACCTCTGCATTCAACATCAACATTGATTCGACATTTACGTGATGTTCATGAAGTTGACGAATTTAAGCCAAAGGAAAAGCTGGTACATCGTTCAAAACAGAAAGGTATACCAGTTAAATTAAAAAAGAAATTGGATCGTGCTCTAGTGAGAGCAATAATTGAAGACGGACGTAGTTTCACTGATTTTTCGAAATCTGGTTTTCAAAAATTTATTCAGTTAGCTTTACCGGGTAATAATATTTGATTGCTCTTATTGAAATATTATATTTATTGGTTTCTTCTTTAGGTTACAAGCCTCTGCATCGCAATTCGGTTAGCACTAAGTTAAAACGTCTTCATACAAAGCATTTTTTTATTATGGTGAATTCGTTGTCTAAATTATCATGCATTTCCATTAGTACGGATTTTTGGTCTGATAATAAACGTATGTCGTTTTTGGTTTTAACTGGTCATTTTGTCACACACGATTTCATTTCAAAATCAACAATACTACGATTTTGTTCCTTTGAAAAAAGGCACTTTTCTGATTTGATTGGTTTCGAAATCGAGAAACTGTTAATAGAATTACAAATTTTTGATAAAGTTACGAGCATCACGTGTGATTCTGCGCCAAACATGATAAAAATGTTCGACTACTTGTCACGTCCTGATATTATACGTATTCGTTGCCATGCACACCTACTGCACCTTATTGTGTGCAATGGCCTTGGTCTCTGGACCGAGAGAAAAGAAAAAATAAAGGCTACAACTAATGAAACAAATCCACATGATTCTGAACTACGCCTTAGTGATTCTTTACAAAAAATTAATATAATCGATGATGAACAATCAATGAATCAAGTACGTGCTGTTGAAAATGATGTTGAATGTACTGATACAGATGATGAAAATGAAGATTCGGTAAGCGTTATTTAACTTTCATATAAGAATTATTTGTTTGGGATTTCCTTGCTTTAGGATGAAGAAGATAATAATAATATCAATCAAGATGATGATGGTGGTAATTTTTCAGATGAAGGTGATTCAATTTCTATTAATAGTGAATCGGATATTGAAAGTTCAGATGATTCATTGCAAAATAACTTTGAAGTTGGTGTTGATGTACATCCCAGTGAAAGTTCTGATTTATCATTGCCACAACCTGATCCACTTATTTGTTTAGTTGTTGAAAGTGAGTGATGTTTTTTTAGCTAGTATTTATTTGAGTAATAAAAATATTGGAATCATCAATAATTAACATACGTTTTAGCAATAATTTGTGACCAATAAAAAATACTTTATTGAGCAATTTTGTATTATTAAATGAACAATAATTAATTCATTAAATAGCAGTAATAATTTCATATTTTAGCAATAAATAGAAGAAAAACTGCATTATTTTTAGTTACAATTGAAAATTAAAAAAAAGAAATAAAAAATATAGTATGTTATTGGATCCATAAAGCTTTTTTTGCCTAGGTGGTCTGCCTCTGTTTCTTACGTATTTCTATAAGTAAATATGTTAAATCCGTAATATGATCTTGTGTATATGATGTCTATTCTCGAAAAATAAGATCCTCCCTGTTATCACACACATGTAAACCTGTATCTGAGATGACAGAATATACCAGGAATATATATGATACGAATAGAATATATCTGAATGATCACTTGAAAGAAAGGAATAAACAATCGAAGAGAAAGCAATATGGGAATGTATCTGGCATTAGGGAGCTGCACCATGTTTTCTGAATGTGATCAGAGGATTTTGGGTCATTCTATTTTTTGGAATACTGAACTTTTTTTCGAATACACATCTGTGGAGCAATATTTCCACTTTCATACAATGTGATTATACCTGTATAAAAGACATTCAGAGTTGAAGGATTTTAAATAAAAAGGTTGGAGTTCATATTTGGACTCTATCGGATCCGAATGTATGGACTCGGACGTTTTTGTTTAAAAACCTTTGGCTTTGAATGATTGTTGTACAGTTCTAATTGCTTAGTCTGAAAGAGTAAATATTAATCTACAAAATTTGTGTCTGAATAACCATTCAATATTCGAGATGATAGAATGATTCCTTTGGTCGGATTCAAAAGAACCAGTACAGCTAACCTGACAAAAGAGAAAGAACATGAAAGGTGTAGATACATATGTAAAGAAAGAAAGAGACCGAAAATATAATGTATAGTGTAACACAACTCTGTCTTATAGCACATCTTTGGAATGTAGCATAAAAGAATGAATCCATAGTGTCCTTTTGTATATAAAATTTACCTGTAATTTAGGTAAATTATTGCTGATTCAGCATATTTATTGCTCATTCAATATAGTTATCGCTTATTCGATATAATTATTGCTTATCCAATATAATTATTGCTGATTCAGTAAATTTATTGCTAAATTTCATTATTGTTCATTTCAATTATTTTATTGCTGAATTAAATATAAGTCGTTTTTTTACTATGTTGCATGAATCGATATCTTTTACTGGCTTTTTTATTTTGAGAATCCAAAATATATTCCCTTTATTTTTTATATCTAGAAAGTCGACTATTAATTGATATTATAAAAGATTCCTCAATTTTATCATCATTCATTAAGAAGAAAAAATATGAATATAATCAATACAATGATAATAAAATAAAGTCTTCATTATTCTTAGATGTACGTACTCGGTGGAATTCAACATTTAAGATGTTGCACACATTAAATGTGCACCGACCGATAATCATTGAATTATTTCAAAACAAAACAAATTTGGATATAACAAAAAAACAACAACAACGTTTAAATGCATTAGAATTGACAAGTGATTGTTGGTATATAATTGAATTATTAATTAAAATATTGAAGCCGTTTTATCGAGCTACTAAAGCAATTAGTGGTAGTGATTATCCAACAATAGGAATTACATTATTTATTTTTCGTCGTCTTGAAAAAGATTTCTTATCCAACATTAGTCCAACAGATGATCCATTATTTAATAATATGAAAGAATGTTTATTAAGTAAAATGATTTATTATAATATGGTAAAAGATCCATCACAAACAAAAACAATTATGGTGAGCGACTTGGAATATTATTGACATATTTTTAATGATGTAAGTAAAAGGTTTTTTTAAAATTCTAGTTCTATGGATACTTCGATCCTTATGGTATATCAGTTATGACAAATAATGAAATTAACAAAATAGAAAATGAAATAAAATATATAATTCGTCAACAAACATCAAATAGTTCAACACAAGCATCATCAACAACATCTTCAAATACAAATGGATCATTAACAACAGAAAAAGAGAAAAAAAAATCATTACTCAATTATTTTCTTGATTCATTAGCTGATGAAGATACTCAACAGGTCAAAAAGCAATCTTCAACGTTAAATAAAATATTAAATGATGAATTTAAAACTTACAAAAAATTAGCTGGTCATTTTGTATCAACATCATCTGATTTATATGATTCACTTCAATTTTGGAAGAAAAACAAGTTGTTATTGCCCAACTTGGCACTACTCGCACAAAAATATTTAGCTTCTCCAAGTACCAGTACAAAATCTGAATCAGCATTTAGCATATCTGCCTATTATGGCCGTAAACAACGAGCTAGACTTTCTCCAGAAAATCTTGGTTTTTCCGTTTTTCTCAAAGATAAACTATCAAATGAAAATAAATAGGAACTGTATATATATTTGATGTATTAAAAAAGTTCTATTTTTTTTTGTTTTTTGAACGACGTTTTTTTGTTATCTTTTTCATATTGAATATTTGGAAAAGATATTTTTCTTGTATGTTAGAAATAAATAAAATTTATGTAGTTGACTACTATGTCATAAAGGACAAGTTATTTATCCCTTGAAATTATTTAAGCTTTATTAGTTCTCTATGCTTATGTGAAAGACTGAACGTAAAATGTTTGTACATGCATATCTCATCTGCAATACGAAGAATAGATTTTTATAATTTCTTCTCGTTGTAAGTTCTTACATAGTTTTTTATCTAAATCTTTTTCTCAAAGATAATTTATATACATAAGTTAGACAACATCTAACTTTATTTCATGAAGATCTCTTGAAAATCTTATACAATATATTGAAAACAAAGAACACTTCGTTTATCTTATATACAGAAGTTAACATGCTACTCTGATCATTCAATAAATATATCGATATGAAGAAAAGTCTTTTTACTGGATAATACAATTACACGGTACGTAACATTAGTGAGCCAAAAAGCTTTTTTTAGTACAACTTTCAGAGAGATATAATGCAATTCATTATGTTTTCGATGGCACAGAATTATTTATATAAATAGATAACGGTATTCTGTACAAAAGTCGTAATCAATTCAGATAAATTTTCACTTACAGTTCTTGCATGATATACAAATGATCAAGACTCATTTAATCTTGATTAACAATCTCTCTGGTTTCTTTCCATCACATTGTAATTGGATTGCCTGGAAGACAATTAGGATGGAAAATTTTGCTCTTTATGATGTATTACTATTAGCTCTACCCTGTAACATAAGAATCCCAACCCGAACCCGAACCCGAACCCGAACTCGAACCCGAACCCGAACCCGAACCCGAACCCCGAACCCGAACTCCGAACCCGAACCCTAAGACAGAACCCTAAAACCGAACCCGAACCCGAACCCGAACCCCGAACCCGAACCATGACACCGAACCCTAAAACCGAACCCGAACCCGAACCCGAACCCGAACCGTTCGGTCCGAACTCCGAACTCGAGT